ATTTCAATATTTGAAGAAAATACATATATGCTAGCTAAAACTATATTGCAACAAGGTATAATTATATCATCTATATATTGTAAAATTTATATAAATTTTATATCTTTTAAAAAAAAATTATTTCTAGCTATTGATTGTAGAAAATATTTATTAGAAAATAACGGATCATTTATCTTATTAATAACATGGATATGGAGTGCATATATGATATCGATATTAATTTCCGGTGAAATTACAGCCAACTTTCATCAGACACCTAGTAATCCACAAATTGAGACATTGGATCAGTTACTTGACTCGCCATTGAAAATAACTGTTACCAACTATTTTGAAACTATCTATACTTTTGATAGCAGACCAATAATCGGTCGAATCTATGATCGGGCAAAACGGGATCAATCGATATATACGTTCGACAACTTTTATAATTGTCGTAAATTATTTGGTGATGTGGCCACTGGCCAGCGGGCAATACTATTATATGAGGTTCCCATTAAACTACTAATACTGATGGCCAATGTTACTGAATTTGCACCTGAAGTCAAATTTCGATATCTAAATGAACGCTATAATACACCGATTAGATTGACAGTGGCTATGACTACTAGATTAAGCAGACAATATAGAAAGCAAATTAATTTGAGGTAAATTTAAAAAAATAAATAAATGTTTAGTTTTTATTTTTAAATAATTATTTATATATATATATATTTTAATTAATTGATTTGTTAAGAGTTTCTCGATATGTTTCGACTGATATTATTGGTTACAATTTGAGAAAACTATTGTCTAAATGTGACCGACTATTTGCTATCAATGATGCCTATACTGAAAATCAATTGCCATTTAAACCGTTAACCTTGATGAACTTAGATAATATGCATTATACATTGTATAGCTCGACACTATGTTGTGTTTGTTTATTAATTGAACTAGCTGCTAATAGATATGTTTGTAAAATTAATCAATTTATTTTCATTCATTTTTCAACCCTATGTTTACAAAAATAAATAAATAAAGAGTTTTATAATTAATATTATTATAAATGTCATTGGTTGTATTCAAAAATTTTATTAATACATAAAATTGATTTATTTTATATTATTTATATATTTTGAAATGTTTTATTTAGTTAAAGCATATATCAATAGATTTAAATTCTAAGATAATGTCAAAATATATTATACATTAAATAAAATGAGTTTTTTTATTCAATAGTTTTTATATATTTATTATTTTTTATTGTTTATTGTTTTGTTTATTTAAATTGTGTTTTTATTTAAATAGTCTTATTTTATGTCAAAATCTATTCATGTTTATTGTGTAACAATGTATATAATTTATTATAAAAGTATGCTTTTGTTAAACAATACAATACATTAGTAGATTTTTATTTAAATAACCTTAAATATTTTAGTTTTTTTTTAATTTTAGGTTAATATATCAATTTTTTTCTTTATGTACAAATAGGATCTATAATATAATTTATTATTAGTTATTAGTTTGATCACAGTAATTTTTATCAAAAAAAAAATCATAATTATATAATTATTAAATTATTTTATAACAAATAAAATTTTTTCAATGCATTTAAATTTTGTCGCTGCATTTATTTATCCATGGATTACATGGTTTAATAATAGTGCACCTGATAAATGTGCTGGCATTCAATGTGACCTGGTTAAATATTTATCCAGATCATTAAACTTTACGTTTAATATTGTACTTGAACAAAATGGTCCTGGCTATCTATTACGCAATGCTAGCAATCATAGCTGGAACGGTATGGCTGGAAAATTTATTAACAAGGTATTAATTAAATAAATCTAATATTTTAAATAACTAAAATTCAAACAAATATAATATAATAATTTTATCTATAATTAATAGTTATGATATTTTTAGTTATAATGTACTAGTAGATTTTTGAATTGAATAAAAAATTATATATACTGTATTTGATATTATAAATTTATTATTATTGCTTTTTTTAGCAAGCTGATTTATCAGCATCGCCCTTTCCACTTAACTATAATTTTTTCGCCCACAACATTGTTGACTATACTCATATCTATACAATTGAGGACTCAGTTGTGCTAACCCGCTATGAAAATAACATTAAATACACAAATGATATGCCATTCAATTTGTTGGCATTTTTCGATAACATTAGTTTACTATTTTTTACAATTTTATTGTTTCTTATTTTATTTATATTACAACTATATGGCTATTTAAATATGCGAAAAAATAAATTTAACAAAATTATTACTAAACAAAACAAAATATTAATATTTGAAGAAAATGCATACATGTTAGCTAAAACAATATTACAACAAGGTATATAAACAATTTTTTTTTTTAATTAAAATATATATACTATACACTAATTTATAACTTTTGTAAAATTTATAAAATTATAATAATGATCATAATTTTATTTATCAGAAATAAATTGTAGAAAATATTTATTAGAAAATAACGGATCTTTTGTTTTAATGATGACATGGCTATGGAATGCATATATGATATCGATATTAATTTCCGGTGCAATTACTGCCGATTTTCATCAGACACCTAGTAATCAACAAATTGAAACATTGGATCAATTGCTTGAATCTTCATTGAAGATAACTGTTACCAACTATTTTGAAATTATCTATCATCGGGATAATAGACAAGTGATACAGCAATTATATGAACGAACAAAACGAGATCAATCGATATTTAGTATTAAAAGCTTTTACAATTGTCGTAAATTATTCGGTGATGTGGCCACTGGCCAGCGGGCAATACTTTACTACGATATTGGAGTCAAAATGCTTATATTATTGGCTAATATTACTGAATTTGCACCCGAAGTCAAACTTAGATTTCTAACTGAAAGATATAGTACACCGATTAGATTGACAGTAGCTATGACTACTAGATTAAGCCGATTGTATAGAAAACAAATTAATTTGAGGTAAATTTTTTAAAAATTAAATAATGTTTAACTATTATTTTATAATTTTTAAAAATATAATTTAAGGTACTGTGTGAAGTAAACTGTTATTTTTTTATTGTACTTTATTTTTTAAAAAAATTAATCAATTTTTTAATTGCTTAAAGAGTTTCCCGGTATGTTTCGGCTGACATTATTGGATATAATTTGCGAAAACTATTGTCAAAATGTGACCGACTATTTGCTGTCAATGATGCCTTTACTGAAAGTCAATTGCCATTTAAACCGTTAACCTTGATGAATCTTGATAATATGTATTATACACTATATAGTTCGACACTGTGTTGTATTTGTTTATTATTTGAACTAGCAACTAATATATATTTGAATAAAATTAAGCAATTTATTTTCAATCACCTAATTTGCTTGTATAATATGTTTTCAAATACTATAAGCTATAATAGTTTTATATAAGTGTCAGTATGTTATCTATTACTATAATATACAAAAATTTTTACATTTAATACTAAATATATCAGTAAATTTTTTATTTAAATTATATATAAATTTTACTGTATAATTTTGATATATTACAGTATTTATTAATAATAATTACAATTACTTACTGTATTATAATTATTAATTTTATAATAATAAACTTTTGATTATTTAATATTTATTTAAAAAATATATATATTTTAATTTAAAAAAATCTATTTACTACTATCTTTGACACTCTGGTGCTTCCATGGGATAGGCCGTACAATTGCCCGGTTCCCAAATGCCTATTTCATAGTCGATAATACCGTTCAAATAGATGGCCATTTCATTCCACTCGGTTTTATTACATTTGTCCTTTAAAAAAAATATTAATATAATTAAATTAAATTAATAATTTAATTAATCAAAAGATTTAAGCAATCATATTGCAATTACAAAAAAACAAACTATACATTTATTTATGTTAACTAAAAAAAATAAAAATCTAACCCCATCTTGAACTTTGCCAGCGTAGCACATGATGTAGTCCCAAATAGCACAGCATGTATTAGGGGCTCGGGGATCAATTTTTTCCGGATCCAGATGCCAATCATCGACAGCCTTATGGATACAGTTATCACTGTCGGCAGTTGTCCTGGTCAGACATTGTTTGGCCTGTGGACCCGGTTCGGGAAAGTTGTTATTTTGGGCTCCAGGTGCCAACAATTCATAGGCCCATGTATGCATTAAATATATCATTACAATAGTTAGACAAATAATTGGCTTCATATTTATAGTTATTAATATTGTTATTATTAAACTTATTTATTTATGTCTACTGTATATTTGTTTAATAATAAAAACAAATAGTTATATTTATTTTTTCATAATTAAACTTTTATTTGTGTAAATTATCTAATATGAGATTTATTATGATTCATAATTATCAAAAAATAAACTAAATATACCATAAGCTAGAAATTTTAAGCACGTGCTAAAATTCATTATTTAAAAAATATATTTTTAATCAATTCATGTGATAATTATAAAATATGATATAAATTTATCTATATATATTATAGCTGTATTATTATTACTCATCAATGGTATTACTTTAAAATATTTTAAAACTTATTATAATTAATTAATTATAGGTACAATAGATAACAGTTGTATTAGCTAATATTATCAGGTTTATGAGGTTTAATACACTTTTTTTTTAAGTATCAAACATATGTCATAAATTTATTTTTAAATTAATAGCAACCACTTGATCTAATTCACATGAATTGGTCTAAGTTATCATCAAGATAATTTTTAATAGACCCATCTAAGAATTTAATAATAATAATATAGTATTAAATTTATTATAAAATTAAATTGATAATATATCAAGGATAAGTTTAAATTTTCAAAAAAAATATTAGCTATATTAGTTTACTATATAAGTAACTAGAAAATTATATTTTATTACTTAAAACTAAATTTATTTTTTTTAAAATAATAATAAAATAATTATACATTTTTTTAATACAATATATTTATAACAATGAACTCAATTATTAGTCTAACATTGATGGCGACTGCTGTCTGTTTGTTTCAGACAGTCATAGCCGACTACGACAACCAAAAAGTCAATATCGATGTCTACTACGAAAGTCTGTGTCCCGATTGTCTTCAATTTATTACCGGCCAATTGGTGCCCACGTATACCAAATTGAATAATATTATGAATGTCCAACTGTTTCCCTATGGTTGGGCCCATACTAAACGGGTTAACCATAGCGACGGTACCTATGATCTGGAGTTTAATTGTCAACACGGAGTCAGAGAGTGTGTCGGCAATTGGATTCATGTAATTATTATTATTATTATAAACATTATTATTATTATTGGAGTTTTTTACAACTATTATAACATATTATTTACGTAAAACATAAATTTTTTTGATCTGTTTATAGAGCTGTGTGTTAGACAGTGAACCAATAGATAAGTCTATTGAGATAATTGGTTGTATAATGGCATCCAAATCACATGCCAATCCCGATGTGGCTGCTGAGGAGGTAATACACATTTTTAATCTAACATAATCCCCACATAAATCACATTATAATTACCCCCTCCCCCGCCAATTTCTAGTGCGCTAAAGTACACCAATATGACTGGCCAGCCGTTAAGGACTGTGCTGCCGGTCCGTTAGCTCGCGGTTTGTCCGCTAAAACGGGTCAACGATTTTTGGCACTCAAACCCAAACCAAATTATGTCCACTGGATTGTTGTGAACGGCGTCCACACCGAAGCCATACAACAACAATCGGGCGATGATTTATATAAGTTTGTTTGCGATACATATAAGGTATGATAATATTATTTACCGGTTATTTACTGCAATTTTATTTTTTAATTTATTTTTAATTTTTTGTTTGATCGTTATATTAGGGAACAAAACCAACCGAATGCAACTAAATGTTAAATTATTTAGTTTTGTTATATTAAAATATTTTTTTCTAGTAATAAATAAATTACAGTAGATTAACAAAAATTGTTATTATTATTATAATTTAATTAAATATTGTAAATGCCTTAATTTATACTTTTGTGACTCAAAAAAATAAATAATAGCAATTAGATATAATTGTAAACAAATAATAGCGTCTATATAAAATATAGTATCATTTTAATAAAAAAAATACATATTTATTATTGTTCATTTAAATTATTACAGTTGTGACAAATTAAAGTAATATACAGTAAAAAACCCCAAAAAAATAATTATACCATACTCACAAATGAAAATAAAAGAAAAAAAACCCCCGCTGTAGTCTACGTTAAAACCGGATACTAGCTCAGACTCCCCCTCAGAAAAATCAAAAGGAGTTCGGTTTAACTCAGCCAAACACACAAAAAGCCACCCCACAAACAAAAACACTCTAAAAAACATAAACCAAAACCCAATCTGAAAAAAAAACAATCCAACAAAATCATAAAAGCTGATATAGTAGACAAAACCTAAGACAAAAAAAATCATAGTCACTTCATAAGAAACTGTTTGAGAAACCCCTCGGTACCCTCCTAGTAATGAGTATTTTCTATTTGAGCCCCAACCACAAAATAACAAAAAATAAACCCCTAATCTCAAAAATCCGAACACATACAAAATAGAAAACCTTCTCCCAAAAACCCCAAATAACCTTACATAAACCACCCACAAAATGAACATAAGAAATAATCCTAATAACGGTCCTCCCAAAAAAAACAAATAATTTATTTTGTACCCCTTAAAAGACTCCTTAGAAAACAACTTAATGGCATCCCTGAAGGGCTGAAAAAGACCCATGTAAAAAAGCTTGCTAGGACCCTTGCGAAAATGAACATAACCCATCACCTTACGCTCAACCAGAGTGAAAAAAGCTAAACCAACTAAAGCACCTACTAGTATCAACAAATAATCAAAAAAAAACATTAAAAATTTTCAAACCCATTTTAAAAAGTTTGAAAATTTTTATTAGCAATTAAAGCTTATTCTAAGCTTAGGTATTCATAATTCCTAGAATGAAGTGCTCAAAATCTTAAGTTAAACAAACTATATGTCTTCAAAACATAAAAAGCTTTTGCAGATTTTATAAAGCGAATTTGCAATTCGCACTGTAATCAGAAGAAAATATATCTCAGGCATCACGCTAATCATCTCCAGGGTGGCCTGTCTAGTCAGGCCATCCTGACTAGTTTTTTGGGTTTTTTTAGAACTAAACACTCTAGCATTCTGTTTTATACTTAAAAAGAAAAACATAGCTTCCGCCGAGCTTAGAGCAAAATATCTAGTAATCCAATCCTGTACCTCTGCGATTTTACTTATCACCGCAACTACCACTAGCAGCCTATCGGGCTTCTTAATGACGAGAGTACTTGCCCTTAAGGCGGCCTGCGCCCCTTTCCAGGAGTGATTCGTGAGAATCACTAAAAACGTTGCCGTACTAGAAGGGAGTATCTTAATAACATGAAACGTTTGGCAAACAATCATTGGTTTTAACTTGACGGAGAAAGACAGCACAGAACACAGGATGTGTTCAATACTCTTAAAGAATGTTTTGGAGAGCATATCATTAGTTTTGATGCGCCAAAAAAACAGGAGGCGGCATTGATTGGCCATCATATTCACCTGATCTCAACCCTTGTGATTACTTTTTTTGGGGATATTTGAAAGATAGGGTTTAAGTTTCTCAACCAGAAACCATTGATCAACTTAAAAAAAAACATTGAACGCGAAAAAAGGGCGATTCCAATGGATATGCTTCAAAGAGTTGCTGCTAATTTTGAAGGCCGGATTCGTCATTTAATTTCAATTAGTAGCGGCCATTTTGAAAATTTAATTTATTAAAATTTAAAAGCTCCATTTACTCAATTTTATATTAATTTTTATTTGAATAAAATATATTTAGTAGTTTTAAAGTTATTGATATGTTTTTAAAAGGACTAAGGGAAAAATCACCCTGTACATATATTACAATAATTAATTAATTAGTTTCAAATTAACTCACCTTCAACACACCGGTACCCCCCCTTAAAAATAATGGACCCTATAGCCGAATTCTATTACTACTATTATTACAACTATTTTTATTATTACTATTATTATGATTATTATAACAAACGTTAATATCGTTTGTCATCAGTATATTCTATGTACCTATTGATTTTTATTTTATCAGCCATTTTATTAATCAATTAATCGATACACTATGATTTAATATGTATATATACTGTGATATTAGTTTATCAATAACTCACTAATTACTAATTGTAGTTAAACACAACAACCAGTGCCGGTATCCCCATAGATATACCTATCTATGTATACTAATTATTAGTGTCTTGATTTCCAACTAAAAAATTATTTTGTCGGTTTAACGCTTATAACTGGGACTTAGTATGTCCACCTAACTTGACCATTGGACGCTATTTCCAAAATTTTATTATAACTATAAATAACTATTTGATAGGTTAGCAACTATAAAAACTTATAAACAACTATTTCAGTTATTTTGAAAAATATAAGCATAAATTGTAAAATATTGCACAAATATATGTAAAAACAAAAAGTAATAGTTATATAAATTAACTTTTTTAACAATAGAAATAATTAGTTTATTTATATAAATCATTTTTTAAAATATGCTGAAAACAAGTGAATTATATATCAGTTGAAATATTTAAAAGAAAATAAATAACTATTTCAATAACTATTTGGCTTTTTTGGCAACTATATACTACTATTTAATACAGTTTAAATAACTATTTTAACAACTATTTGACGTTTTTTAGCAACTATTATAACAACTATTTAATAGAGTATAAATAATTATTAATCAATACACTACTAATTATAATTATGTAATAATTACCGTTTATAAATTTATGGATCGACTTTTAAATTTGTTTTTAATATAACTCTTTAGTTATAAATAATATAAACTTTTAATTAATATTATTGTAAACACTGGTCAAACCCTTATATATTCATCTTAACTAATTTACTGTAATTGTAATAACAATTCAATAAATCACAATTAACTGCCGTAAAGTTAAACCCAATTAACCAATCATCTGAACGTATGCTGCCTACGAATTGCCTACGAACGCGCCACCAGTGGCGGACACATACAACACCAGTAATCTAAAATCAATACTCAGCCTTCGTAGTGCTTTTTATTATCGATTGATGTCTCAAAACGAGTATATAAACCCCGATTTTCAACACAAAATCAAGAGATTTTAGGTTTTTTTTTGACTTGACGTCGTCTGAACCTTTATTATATTGCTACAATACTATATTATAATAAAATGAAATCAAGACCATCATTTCAATTGGTGGTCAATACCTATGGACAACATTTGGACTCAAACATTAGGCGGCCAGCGAAGACAAGGATAACAGCGATTCATTGTATCATATATATATATATATATATATGAGGGTATGGCGGACGCGGTTGTACGTATGGAAATAGATGATTGATTAGATACAGAGATTGATTCAATATTGCATCAAATGTTTATAGGTGAGGGGGTCAGTCTGTCATTGTAATGTATAGTGAATTAGATAGGGACAGGTAGGCATTGCATCGCATTTATATTGGTGTGGGGATTCTCTCGATATTGTACTGTATTTAGAGTTAATAGATATATACTTGACGGTTACTAGGGTAGGCACTGGACCAATATTGGCGGCTTATCCAGTAGAGAATTGAGTCGTAATGATGGTATATAACAAACAGCAGTTAAGTTAGTATAGATTAAATGTTTGTCAAGTTAGTTATGGACAGAGTATATGAGATATTTATATAAAGTATTGAGAGTATAGACCCGATAGGTGTGGTCTTTTGTAGGTAGCCAGGCTGGTCTAAAGGAAATGGCCGGCAGCCGTGGCTAACCATAGTATTTAGATTGGTGTTATTATCAATTGTATTTAGATTAGTATTATTTTAGCGCTCTGAGATGACTTCTTTGATTTACGTCTTATTAATATTAATTGGTTCTGTTATAGATTCTAATGATTAGTTGAATATAGAAAGGCTTTGTGAGTATCTAAAGAATATGAGTGAATTTCTTTGTGAATTATATTGATTATTGAGATTAGTTATTGACATATACTGTTTGTATAAGAGTTTAGTGTCGGATTGAAACTGAAATTGAGATAGAATATACTTATTTGAAGTACTTTGTGTGCTTTAAGGTTAAGATAATTAAGATTGAGTATTGTCGTATTAAGATCCTGATAATGAGATAACCTACCATGAAATCAACCCTTAGACCTAACAATTCATCAGTAGTACTTTATTAAATTATTGTCATAATTATTGCCAATATTATAACTTTATATTAGACCTCATTTTATATCTGTAAGCAAATTGAATTTAGTTGAAATAATAACAAATAGAGTTCCGGCCGCCTAGCCAACGGCCGAAGATATAAGTGGTCGATTACCACAAACCGGTTCCTGAACCGTGAAATCAGGTGGTGGAAGCTACAATCCCCAAGACAGGCAAAACTCAGAGAATATATGAGCGGCCATTGCTCACAGATGGTATTATTTTAAGTATTAATTAATTAAGGCAGTTAAGCTGAACCGGTACTACTGGTTTGGATTGACGGTAATTATTATTGAGAATAAAATCGGGAAATATAGGTAATCAAATTAGATTAGAATAAGAAAACAGTTATAATCGGTCTCTAAATAGAGAACCGGATCAAAGTGAGCAATTGTAGTCATAGATTCTCTCTGCTGTCTTTTAATAATATAATAACAGATAGACTAAATCTAGTCATCACAATATATACTGTATAGTACAATATAATTTTTAATTAATAAATATGATATAATTATACAATTATTTATTAATTTAAGAAACAAATAACAACATAGTTTATATTTAAATTACTAAACATTTTAGACTTAAAATATTAAATACAAATATATATTTTTTAAAGAGTAAAGTGAACATAAGTATTAATATATATATATATATATTTTTTAAAATCTAAATAATAATAATAATATAAATTTTATAGTACTAAAATGCTATAGAAGCTAATTTTATTTATTTATTTTTTGAAAGTTAATATAATTTTATATAAATAAATTATAGACATTATGTTTTACGACACACTCTGGTGTTCCCATGGGATAGGGCGTACAATATCCCTGTTCCCAGGTACCAATTTCATAGTCGATAATTGCTTTCATATATTGGGCCACATCAACAAACTCGGTTCGGTTACATTTGCCCTAAATATTTAATTTTAGTAAAAAAATATAATATATTTAATATTATATAATAATAATACTAAAATTATACATAAAAAATAATAAAATGATCAAGCAATAAACAAACAAAAAACAAACAAAAACATTTTGTCTAACCGATTTGCCAACTTTGTCAACGTAGCACCTGATGTAGTCCCAAATGGCACAACATGTTTGACGAGCACGGGGATCAATTTTTTCTGGATCCAGATGCCAGTCATCGACTGACTGATCGGTACAGTTTTTGTTTTCGGCTACTGTCCTGAACATACATTGTTTGGCCTCAGGACCCGGTTCGGGAATTTTATTATTTTGTTTAGCTCCAGGTGCCAGCAACTCAAATGCCCAGGTATGCATTAAGTATATTAATACAATAATTATAGCAATTACTGGTTTCATATTTATTATTATTATTATTTATATGATAATTAATTAAAAATTTATTTATTTATTTAGTTTTTTAATAAATAAATAAAATTTGTTTTATATTTATATACAGTATATATAATTTTTTGTTGTTGCTTCATAATTTATCTAATATGAGATTTATTATGATTTTATTATTTTGTATTTAATCAAAAAATAATTAGAGTATCATAATATTACAAAATAACATTGAAATTTAGCATCTGGGTAAAATTTAGATTTATAATTTTATTTTATTAATCAGTGATATTTTACAAGTTAATACTTCAATACTATTATTAGTAAAATGTATAACAATATTGATTATAATATTTAATAATAAATTATCATTTGTTTACTGTTAATGACACAATTATTTTCTATCAATAATAAATAAAAAAATGTTTTTAAAAAATTTTATATTAAATTAATACTTGATCTAATTCACATGAAAACAATTTAGTCTAATTAATCATTTTTTAAAGATAATTTTATGGTATGATTCACTTAAGTTCATTAAAAAATGATAACAAAAATGTAAGATAAATTAAATATTTAAAAAAAATCAACAATATCATTTTTCTATATAAATAATTAAAAAAGTATATCTAATTTAACTTAATATTTAATTTAACTAAATTACTATTTAAATAACAATATATTTTTTGTTTATAAAATATATATAATAACTATGAATCCATTAATTTCTATTAGTACGACATTACTGGCCATTGTATGTTGTTTATGTCAGACAGTTATGGGCGCCGATAACTACGATGACAACCAAAAAGTCAATATCGATGTCTACTACGAAAGTCTGTGTCCCGATTGTATCGGTTTTATCAACAAACAATTGGTACCTACCTATCCCAAGCTGAGCAACATTATGAATGTCCAGTTGTTTCCCTATGGTTTTACAGAAACCAAACGGGTTAACCATAGCGACGGTACCTATGATCTGGAGTTTGACTGTCAGCACGGTTTGAGAGAGTGTATCGGCAATTGGATTCATGTAATTATTATTATTATTATTATTGGTTTCTCTTACATAACAACTATTTTTAAATATTATTTATATATATAGAGCTGTGTATTGGACAGTCAGCCAATAAATAAGTCAATTGAAATAATTGGTTGTATGAGTGCTTCAAAATTAAGTGCTAATCCCGCTGCCGCTGCTGAGGAGGTAATCATTAAAAAAAACAATTTTAATCTAAAATAATTACAAAAAATAACATTTTTAAAAAAATATTTCTGTATATAATTTCATTATCACATCTAAATGTCTAGTGCGCCAAAACACACCACTTTGAGTGGCCGGCCGTTAAGGACTGTGCTGCCAGTCCACTGGGCCGCGGGTTGTCCATGAAAGTGGGTCAACGATTTTTGGCCCTCAAACCTAAACCATGGTTTGTTCATTGGATTGTTTTGAACGGTCAGCACACGGAAGACATACAGAAACAATCGGACAGTGATTTACATAAACTTGTTTGCGATACATATAAGGTATATAATAATACAGTAATTGTATATAATTACTGTATTAATAGTTTTATTTAAATCTGTTTAAATAATATACTGATTAAAATAATTATTTCTGTTATATTAGGGCACAAAACCAACTGAATGCAACTGATATTAAACTATAAATGTTTTTTAAAAAATTGTAAAATAAATAAATTAAACATAAATTATTGTTACTTTTATTATTAGTATTCTTTAATAAATAATTTAATTAATATTTAATTAGTTAATAAAATTTATTATTTAAAAATAGCATAGTTGTACACTAATAAATAAGTTTTTTATTATATATTAAAATTATTTATTTAGTCTTAAAATAGTTGAAAAAATAAATTTATAAATAATTTTTTAAAATTTATAAAAGTTTAATATTAACATTATTAATTAATAGTAACTGTATTAATAACTTTTTTTAGCATTACTATTAATAGTAGTTATAATTTAGAAAATTGATATTTTTTACAATAAAACTTCTATTGTCTTCTAATGTCTATTAATTTTATTTTCAATAAAAATATAAGTTAAATAAAGCTATTAATTAATTTTTAGCTAATTCAATATAACTTATTTGTATTTTTGCATTATTATTTAATATTTTAAAAAATAATTTTTAGGTTTGTAATATCCTGTAAAATAATAAAGGAACGATATTTATATTATAAAATTAGATATTATAAATACTTAAACAATTATTATTTTAAACTAATTAGTTTAGTCAACCAAATAATAACTATTAGAAATTAATATTAGTTAGTACAATATAATATAAAAATAAATATTTATTTTAGAGTAAAATTACATTAGTAGTTATATTTCATTAGTAGAAAAAATATATAATTATCTATAAATATATTATAAAATAATATACTAATTTTGGTCAATAGACAGTATAACTTGTTTTTTAAAATAACTTATTTTTTAATTAACAAAAAATTATTTTTATTAAATTATCAAAAAACTTTTTATCAGCAAATAATGACAAATATGTTTATAACATCGATTATACTATTATTAGGTATATTTATTATATTATCATTGGCACCGTTAGTTAGTGGTGAATGTTGGGGCTGTTCATCAATCTATAATACCCAATGTATATCAAATGAATGTCATTGTCTACCCGATCATTATTATCTACAACATCCTGATTTAGTACCATATGTTTGCATATATCAACAATGTCTAAGCGATTACAATTGCACCCATCATAAGGATCCCAATAGACGGTGTGTCCGCCAGGAAAATGGTATGAAATTTTGTGAATGTCGTTACGGTTACTTACCCGACCCGTACAATGGTAACTGGTGTGCAGGTATTGTGTTATCCACTTTTTTATGACATATCTAAATATATAACATTAAAAAATCTAACTATTTTTTCTATTAAATAATAAACTTTTTAAAAAAAAACAAATTTTCACAACTAAAGTTGATAATAAAAACTTATGGCAACAATTGTGGACATATACTAAAAATACAAAACTATCGATTGGCGAGTTTGCACTGTCTATAGTATTGGTACTTTTGATTGTCGGCACTGTTGTCATACTGTACCGGAAGTATCGCCGATACCGGCATTCGGGATCATATACTATACGTATGATCGATGATTTTAGGTCGGCCAGTGTCCCTAAAATCTGGGATACCTATGATGATGACAACAATGTTGTGTCCTATTTTAAAGGTATAGTTGTTGATTGTGATGATGACAATAGTGATAGTCATAGCTATAATAATAATAATACCAATAATAATAGCATTAATAAAATAATGCAATCAAAAAGCTCTATTGTATCTCAAGTGTAATAAATATTATATACAGTATTATAAATAGTATATATTTATATTGTATATACAGCTGTAATGTATATCTCTGTTTTAAATATAAAAATTTCATGAGTTGTTTGTTATATTATAAATAATTTCAGATATTATTATTATTATTTAATTTTAAATTTATTAATATTATTTAAATATTGTAAATAATCAAGATAAGTGATTTCATTTTTAATTTGTTTTATTTGTTGTTCAAATAGCAATAATTATAAATATATTATTAAATAATTTAAATATATATATATATATAATTGTTTTATAATATTACAATTAAAAATCCAATTATTTGCATCTAATTTTATTTATTGTATCCAATTATATATTTAGTTCAATTTAGTTTATATTTTACTAATTTATATATTAATTTGTGTTTTTTTGAATATGTTTTTACTTTATATATTTATACTGATATTTTAATTATAATACTTATTTTATTTAGTTTTTTTAATTTTACTATTTATTCAATTACTGTAATTTAAATTTTCAATAATTTTATGTTTACTTTATAAACTTTTTTTTTGTACAATAATTTTTAAAAATACTTTTTGTCATATTCATATAAAGTTTATATTATAAGTATATCAACTTTTAAAACTTTAATTGAAATACATTATAATTTTTTTTTTAAAATGATGTCACCAATGTAAACATTTTAATGTAATCAATACTTTATATGTCAATATCAATATCACTAAATATAAATAAAATGTTTGTATATATCAATTTTACTTTACAATCAGTGTCTGGTTATTAAAATAAATAAAAAAAATATCAATTTATAATAAATATTTACATAAAAATAAATAGTGATTACAAACATGTTGTACTAAATATTTCCCTATTTATAAATAACATCAAAATATGAAAAACTAATTAAATTGTAAATTAATACAATCTATTACATAAACAGTACTTTTACGGTACAAGCAGTTTATAAACATAATTAGATACTAATTATAATAAATTTTAATTAATTAAAATAAAAATATGTCTGCAATTAATTATTGTTTACTCATATTATTACATATGTTGTTATTGTCGTTGACTATCACTACTATCCAGTCGACTAATAGCACCGGCAGTATAGACAGCTCATCCAATATCAATCTAACCGTTTACTATGAATCGCTGTGTCCCGATTGTCAACGATTTATTGGCCAACAATTGGTGCCGACCTACCAGAGTATTGGCCAAATCATTAATGTAGATCTGGTTACGTTTGGTTGGACTAACTGGACTCGTATTAATAGAAGTGACGGTAGCTATGATGTGGAGTTCAAGTGCCAGCACGGAGTTCAGGAATGTCTGGGCAATGAAATTCATGTAATTATTAGTAAAATAAATATTTAAAGTATTTTACAAATATTTTTTTTTTGAAAAAATTATTTAATTTATATGACTTTAATATTAATTGTAGAACTGTGTACTCAAATGGGAACCGGTAGATCGGGCCATCCAAATGTTTGGCTGTATGTTCAACTCGACCTACTTTAAGACACCGGCCATTGCTGGCAAAGAGGTGTTATTAACTGAGTATAACTTAATATAAAAACAGAAAGTATTTGATACTAAATATTGATATTAATAACTATTTATGTTAGTATAGATAATCTATATTGATATACATTATAATACATTTTAAAAATAATTTTATATTGTTTTTTATTAATAATTAATTATCTTCTAGTGTTCACAACATTTAGGCATCAATTGGACAGTTATTAATGACTGTTCGACGGGACCGTTGGGCAGAGGACTGACACTGGTATCGGGAAATAGATTCAAAAGTTTGAAACCTATGCCCAAATTTGTTGAATGGTTGGTCATCAATGGTAGGCATACGGATGATATGGAAAAAAAGGCCAGCAATAATCTACTCAAATATTTGTGCGATATTTATACGGTTAGTATTACTAACATAGTATATGTATTTTTTTAAAAAAAAAGTTAGCTTAAATTAATTTTAAAAATTAAGTTTCCAGCTATAAATTATAAATTAAATTTTATTTATTTCATAGGGTCCAAAACCAAGTGGATGCTATACTTAATTTTTTTTAAAAATAATTATGATAAATAATAGTTATCAAATTGTGGTTTTATATATTTTTAACTAATACTGTATAATTTAAATAAATATACAGTAATTAATAAATTATATTTTTAACAAAATAAAAGTTAAATAATTAGTTTTATTAGTACTTATTTTTAAAAAATTATTTTCTTATTGTTAATATGTTTTTTATAATCTATTTTTTTAAATAAAATAATATTGATTTTTTTTATTCTTTAGGATATTACATACTTTAAAATTATAATCAATTATAGTATTTAAAAAAAAAATTATTAAAACTTAATTTATTAAGATTTTTAAAGTTGATGTCACACATTATATTAATTTACAATATTAAATAAAATATTACAATAAACTTACAATAATTTAAATATTAAAACTTAATTTTTTATTATTATCAAACTGTAATTATTTAAATGAACAATAAATTTGTAGATTTTAATGTCATAAATAACATATAGATAATAGGTGTACTACCATTTTATATTAAACTATATAATAATAATATAAATATTATGCAATATAAAAAATATTAATTGAATATATTATGTAATATATTTTTTTCAAAAAAAATAAATTTATATTATTAGTTTATTAATTAATTTTTTCAATAAATTCCCAGTTTAATAAATTTAATTTATTTGACAACTAATTTAACCATACGTACCGAACCGGATGGCCTGACCAACAGTTCTAGTCTATCATTTTTGCCAACTGTTCCCAATATCTCTTTGCCATCGTCTAGAAACAGGTCGTGTACTTCATATTTGGTATTATCTTTGACATCAGGTATGAGCTCCGATACAGTTTTGGACATCTATATGGATTACCATTATATTATCAATAATAGGCACACAAAAAAATAATTAAATAATTACATATTAGATATTTTTTTTTTTAAACTATAAATTAGATTACATAAATCGGATGACCCATTGGACGCTTATGTAGATAAACTACAGCATAGGACCATTGGCCACCGATTACTGGTTCCATAGGTTTGACCCAAATCTGATGGTCATTGTCTCGGTAGACCATTTTAGCCATAATTCCGTGTCGGTCCTGATTGACGGCAATCAGTTCCCGATTTTGCAGAATGGCTTTGTATTCGGGTCTCAATTTGCGCAAATCGGTAGATATAAGCAACGGTGACGACCATACGGACCACATTGCCATTTGTGTACGGCTCTGGTCGTATGATAGTCCAGAGTTGCCTATTGTTAGTTCATCTATAAATTAGAAAAATAAATAATTTTTTTTTTGTTAGATTTTTAATAAATATATTAATTAAATGTATGTATTATTACTACTAAAGATTTCTTCCTAAAATAAGATATATTTTTATTTATTTATATATTATGTAAAATAGTTAATTCATTTGTTATAGTTTATTATATAAATAGTTTGAAAATATATATACTGTATAGTGTTATAGAAACATTGCAAATATACCTGGGTCGGCAAAATGACCAGGTCCTATAATTAACAAAAAAAATTATTAATTTAATTATTAATAATTAATTAAAAATTATTATAATATACTGTCTATAATATACCGCTATATTTGATGAACTCGTCATTATAATCGCCATAGTATTTGATAATTTCATCAATACTGGCCCACGAGTCCAATACATCCTTATAGTTACGGTAGGTGTGACACGTGCGCGATATGGCCGCATAATCGGGATGTATGCCACCTAACACGTACTGAAAGAAAGGCCATTCGCACGTGAATAATATATGTCTGCCTATTTGTTTATCGAGAAATATAATATATTGTATAAACTAATTGAGATACAATTGCTAAACATGTTTATCATATATGAGCTATTTTTCTCTCTCTCTCCTAACCTGTCTTATTGAGTTCATCGCCCATACGTGGATATAGTTGATCATATTTTTTGACGTCCTCATAGCAGCCGTCCTGTTTGAACGAGTCGACTCCCCATTCGGCAAATGTTTGGGCGTCTATATCGAAAAAATCCCGTTCCCCTGTATTATGATTATTTTGGCCAGGTAGTGTACTGATTGATAAATAGTTAGGTAAAATATTTCACTCATTCACACACACACTCACTCACTCACTCACCCACTACAAGTAAGATTTCCAATGTCTCCATATATGCCTAACAACAGTCCTTTGGAGTGCATATAGTCGGCCAACCCTTTGATACCACTGGGAAAACGTTTTCTGTCGGCAACCAGACGCCGATTGGCATCCCTGTCCTTTTCCATCCAGCGGTCATCGACATTGACATATCGGTAGCCAAGATCGGCAAACCCGTCGGCCACCAGCCGATCGGCCATCTCTTTGTACAGTTGTTCGTTGATACACGAGTTAGGGTATCGGTCACAGTCGGTGTCCGTATCGAAGGCCGTATACGATAGGAAACCCATTGGCGGTGTACGGGCTGTCCCGTCATCTGTTTTGGCCAATACATGACTACTGGACAGCAGTGTTACAAAAATTATAGTTAAAATAGTAATCATTTTGTTGTTGTTTTTTTATGTGTGAAAATACTCTATTAATTTACAGTAATTTAGTTCAATTTATTAAAAGATTATATATTATAAATATTTTTATCTTATTGTTTACTAATTTATAACAATTATTATTTAATTGTAATTTTTAGTTAAAATTATCATTAAATTGAGTGCAATTTTTGTGCGTCCCCTCAATTCATACAATTTAATTATCTTATTTTTATATTTATTATTATCTAAAATTGATTTTAAAGTACTGTACACAGTGTGTGTGTGTGTAGTATATAATAAAATAGAAAAATAATTGTATATTTAAGATAAGCTGAAATTAATGTTAAGTAATATATATGTCGTGGCGTAAAAATATGGTATGAATTATAAAAAACAATTGAAATGAATTGCAGTCGATGTGTTGAGTGAAAATGAAAAAACTTTATTTAAAACTTTATTATTGAAAATACATTTGATATGAAATATTTGTATTTCATATATGATATGATGTCTATAAGCATAGACTATGGTATACAACGCATACGTATCTATTGTTTGACATACATTTATATAGGGTTTTAACATATAATAAAATGTATTGAATGGTTGGCCACTGGAAGGTCAGTTTGACCCACATTTCAAAGTGTGGTCTTATTTTTAGAAATATGTATGATATCTGTGTATAAGATATAATTGAAATGAATGTATGTGTGTTTGTGTATGTGTGTGACAATAGTTTTAATTGATATTTTAAGGTATAAACTGTGATAAAAGTGGTACATAGGGTTGGGTTCAAAGGGTTGTTCGAGAGATACCGACAATAGGTTTCTAGGAATAGATAGTCAAAAGTATGGGAACATTGATTGAAATTTAGTTATATTTACTTTTATTAGTTTTTCCCATTAAAATAACTTTTCTATATTTACATCCCTGGGTTTTATGACATCCCTTCAGGTATGTATGGTCTGAGTTTGGATATATGGTATGTGTCGGTACTTTTGCCCTTCTTATCACAATTTAGTACATATGATATGTTAGATAATTTTTTTACAATTTTATATGGGCCACACATTAATGGATCTAACTTTTTACGCGATATTTTATTTTTATAGTCGACTAATACTAGGTCTCCTACATTGAATTCAAATGGATTATGATGTCTATCATAATATGATTTGTTCACTGTATGACTATTTAATGAATTTTTAAATGCATTTTTTCGCGCCTTATCTACTGTAACCTGAGATCCATACATGTAGTGGTCAAATGGTTTGACGCCAAATAATAAATAGTTTGGGATGTATTGTGTTGTTGAATGTACTGTATTGTTGTATTCGTGTGTACAATGGTTTAGTAATTTTGGCCAACAAATTGATTGATTATTATCATTGATTTTACAGCGAAGTCTAGTAACTAATGTTTGGTTTATACGTTCGCATAACCCATTAGATTGCGGGCAATTTGTTGTAATAAACATGATTTTAATGTTGTGTTTTTCAAGGAAATTACAAAATTCATTGCTTTTGATACCTGTGTACCTGTCGGCCAGAATTAGTTTTGGTTTATGTGTTTGACAAACATTTTTGATTAATTGTATAAAATCCTTAGCACTTTGAGTACTGGAAGCGGTATTCCATAGGAAGCGACTGAAGTTATCAATAGCTACATGAATATACTGTTTCTTTGAGTTATACCCGGCCAGACCACCGACTGTATCAATGGATATGATATCAAACGGTTGCTGTGCCGGACCTATTTGGGACAGTGATCCCAACTTTTGTTTTCTACTAATTTTATTTGTTTGACAAACTAAACATTTGGTTAAATAATCATTGATATGATTGTGTATATTTTTGAAATAATATGCGCTACAAATCAATTGTGTCATAGCATGAGCACCTATATGACCATAATTTTTATGAACAATACTTAATAGTTTAGGTATGAGCGGGTCGGGTATGTATATACGTTTGGTGTCAGCCTTTTGTCTGATTATGATATTGTTTTCAAGAACACAATGTTTGGGTAATATTTTAATGAATGGTTTTTGTGTTTCAACTATTATGTCTGTAGTTATGATATTTATTGGTAATGTTTGACAATTATCTGTTAGCTCTAATATATTGAGAAATTTTGTAGTACAGTATTTATCATTACCTTCGAGTACAGGGTTTCTACTCAATAGGTCTGCACCGATATTAGTTTTACCAGTAATATACCTGACATCAGGATTATACTGTCCTATCCTGAGAGCCCAATTGAACAAACGTGTTGTCGGTTTTTTAATTGAGTTTAACCACTTTAATGGGTTATGATCTGAGTATACAATCACTTGATTACCGTAGAGATAATGGTGCCAGTAGTCGAGCGACTGGACAAGTGCTAGACACTCAAGCTCTGAGACATTATAGTTTTTCTGATAGTTTAATAACTTACGAGAGAAGTAGCCTATCGGGTGTAGTTTACCGTCACTTTGCATCTGCTTAAGCACGGCTCCGGTACCTATTTTGCTGGCATCGGTATAGAGTATGCACTCTTTATTTGCGTCATATATAGATAAGACTGGTTTGTTTGTTAGGTATGTTTTAACCCAATTGAATGAATTTTCACATTCGGTATCCCATTTAAATTGAGTATCTTTTTTGAGTAGATTATATAATGGGTTTAGTTGTTTGCATGCATTTGGTATGAATTTATAATAGAAATTGATTTTTCCCAAAAATTGTTGCAGTTGTTTAACTGTATTTGGTTTAGGGAAATTTTTAATTGCCATAATGTTATCATTTATTGGTGTGTATTTGTTTTTAGTTATATAATGACCTAAATATTGTACAGTATTTTTTGCAAATTTACATTTTGTTAATTTTAATTTTATGTTTTCGCACTTTAATGCACTTAATGTTTTCTCAATATGTTTTATGTGATCAGTTAATGATTTTGAATGTATTATGATATCATCTAAATAATTATGAGCAAAATTATTTAAATTATATTTAATTAAAATATTTTGTATAACTCTCTGAAAAATCATAGGAGAGTTCCTGAAGCCGAACGGCATAGTTAGCCACTCGTAGTGTTGATTTGTAGTGACAAATGCTGTCTTATGTATATCTTTTTGGTCAACTCTTATGTGCCAAAAACCACTAGTTATGTCTAGGGTTGTAAAATACTCACAATCTATGAGTTTGTCTACAATGTCATTGAATAGCGGGAACGGAAAATTGTCGGGAATTGTAATTTTATTTAGTTTCCTATAATCTATGGTTAGCCGGCTTTTTGTACCCTCGTCTTTTTTGTAAGCGAGAGTTATAGGGAAACTGTATGGACTGACACTTTTCCTAATAAATCCTTTTTCTAGTAATTTATCGATTTGATCATCGATTACCTGTTGATCCGATGGTGAGCACCGATACGGACGTAAATTTATTGGGACATTGTTTGTGATATTTATTGTGCATTTTTCGGTGTTTATTAACCCGATGTCGTATTTATTTATTGAGAATATGTTTGAATGTTTGGTTAGGATTGCATGCAATTTGTTTTGCTGATCACTGTTTAAAGGGTTTGAGATAAGCATCTCATTGGTATTTATGTGACAATTATTGTCAATGCATTGATTTTCTGTATAATTTGATAATATCTCATCTGTTTGGGTGATATTATTGTTTGTAAATGTTTGTATAATCTGATAATTGCTATTCATATGTAAATTGAATTTTTTTATTAAATCTAAACCTAATAGAAAATTATGGTTAGATTTTTGAATGACATATACTGTACATACATGAGTTAGTGAAACTATGGTTAATGTAATATCTACGAGACCTAAACATGAATTTGAATTATTAATAGTTTTGAAATGTGTTATCTGTTTATTAAATGGTAGTTTTAACTTTTTAACTATTTGATCACTAATGACACTAACATTAGCTCCGGGATCAAAAATAATATAAAATATTTGTTTATTAATAATAGCATAAATTTTGATTAGTTTTTGATGATTAGGTCTCTTATTTAGTTTAAATGTATTGAATTGATGTCATTTTCGACAGACTCTGTGATGTCATTATTGACTTCAAAATTGTTAATTTTTTTAGCATTAGTTGTCTGTGTTGTGTTAGGTTTGCCTTTGTTTAAACACTCATTAGACCAGTGATACCGGCCTTTAAGTCCAAGCTTTTCACATATAAAACAAGGGGACAGGGGTTTGCGTTTTGGTTTATCTGATTTTTGGTCATATTTTTGCTTTGCTATTGGTTTGTTTGACACAGCATTTGATTTAGCAATTGATTGGAAGCGCTTTAAGTTATTTTCTGCAGTTTTTGCTATCGTATAAAAATCTGCAAATGTTTTTGGTTTCACAGCCGTGAAACATTCAACCATTTTTGGGTGTAAATTATGGATCATTAAGGGAATCATCTGAGACTCAGTTAGTTTTGCCGCTACACCTAATCGTCGCTTTGCTTCAAAGTACTCTTTTATGCCTTGGCTTACATCATATTTTAAGTTTACAAACTCTACAATGGGTTCAATAGATTCAATGCCGAATCTGTACAGTAATTTATTTTTGATTGAATCAAAACTTTGGTTATCGAAGTTTTCGATATACCAATTGAGAGCATCATCTTCGAGATGATTACCTAATAGTATAGCCTTATCACTGTCTGTCCACTTATAATATTTTGCTATCATTTCATAGCGTTTAAACCAATTTTCTATTGAGATCTTATCTCCTAAACCTTTATATACTTGAATCTTAGGCTTACTGTTTGATGGCTTGATATGCGATGAATCGTAAATTTCGGTGTCGGAGCTGTCATCGATGTCCACCAATTGCTGTGTTGGGCGAGTGTTGTCATTGTTTGGCGGATCAACGTCTTGTGGAGATGTGTTGGGTGTTGTTGTGTTTGTTTGTCTCATCGGTTGTACTGTTGGTGTCGGTGCCGGTGCTGTTTGAGTTGACTGTCGGGTGTTTCTCTTTGGTGCCATTCTTCAGGAGTGCGATTATTGCAGCGATGGTTTGCTCGTCGATATGTTTATCACTTTTGTCAATAGCCTTCACTATTTCTTCGGCTGATCTAATGGTTAGGTCGACGGCAACTGTTGGCACAACAAGTTTTTTACCGATTCTGTATAGTCTACTGAATATACCGGCGCTCACAATACAACTTGCAGTTAACAATAATATAAAAACTGATGCACTAATGAAAACTTTTAAATTCATTGATCGGGATTGTGGTCACAATCCTGCCGACTATATGTCGTGGCGTAAAAATATGGTATGAATTATAAAAAACAATTGAAATGAATTGCAGTCGATGTGTTGAGTGAAAATGAAAAAACTTTATTTAAAACTTTATTATTGAAAATACATTTGATATGAAATATTTGTATTTCATATATGATATGATGTCTATAAGCATAGACTATGGTATACAACGCATACGTATCTATTGTTTGACATACATTTATATAGGGTTTTAACATATAATAAAATGTATTGAATGGTTGGCCACTGGAAGGTCAGTTTGACCCACATTTCAAAGTGTGGTCTTATTTTTAGAAATATGTATGATATCTGTGTATAAGATATAATTGAAATGAATGTATGTGTGTTTGTGTATGTGTGTGACAATAGTTTTAATTGATATTTTAAGGTATAAACTGTGATAAAAGTGGTACATAGGGTTGGGTTCAAAGGGTTGTTCGAGAGATACCGACAATAGGTTTCTAGGAATAGATAGTCAAAAGTATGGGAACATTGATTGAAATTTAGTTATATTTACTTTTATTAGTTTTTCCCATTAAAATAACTTTTCTATATTTACATATATATATATATATATATATATATATATATATATATATATATATATATATATATATATATATATTTGTTTTGCTATTCAATATTATTATATAATAATTAAAGTACAGTAAAACTTGTAATCTATATAATGTACTATACATTATAACCACCAACAAAGATGATATATAAAAAACATTATTATTAATTGATTGATAATCATAATACAAAAAAACATAATGATAAAATTATAAACTACTGTATTATTTTTTATATATCAAATAAAACATTTATTAAATTAATTCTTAATATAATTAAATGTAATTTTCAAAAATATTTTTTAGAACTTAAGATTTTTTTTAAAACAAATAAATATAAATTTAATAGTTATATTTAATATTTAATACTTTATTAAATAAATTTATTTTTGTTTTGAATTTAACTTTGAGCTTTGAAAAAAATAATTGAATAAATATAAACACAATAATTTTTTTTATTAGATTATATTAAAATTATTGTTATTTTTATTGATAAATAAAAATTAATTATTTTGTTTAATATTGTAAAATTATTGCAATATTATATTTATTTTACTAAAAGTTTAACCATACGTACGGCACCGGCCGTATTGATTAGCAGTTCCAACTGATCATCTCTGGTAATGGTTCCCAATATTTCTTTGCCCTCATCGAGAAACAGGTCGTGTATTTCATATTTGACCCCCGGTTTAGTGTCTGGTATCAGATCCGATAACTTGTGCGACATCTAATAGATATATAATATATATAAATAATACAATTAAAACATATTATTTTTATAAATTATTAAACAAATAAAACTATTAAGAGATAGGTTTCGGAAAATCATAATTAAAATTAAAAATTAAGTTATTTAATTTTTAATAATTTATATATAAAAAAATTTTATTAATAAATAATAATTACATATATGGCATCGCCAAGTAGTTCCCTATTGAGATATGCCACTGCATAAGACCACTGTCCATTGACTACTGGTTCCACTTGTTTAACCCAAACCTGGCGATTAGTATCCTATGATAAAATGAAAACATTAGCCACAAATTATTTAATTCATAAGTTTGTAGACATTAAGTAAACACATAATTTTTACAATTATAATAATCCAAAAAATTACAAAAAAAAAACTTACAGCAAACACACGCTTAGCCATAATTCCGTGTCTGTCCTGATTGACGGCAATGACCGCCCGGTTCTGTAGTATTGCTTTAAACTCGGGCCTCAATTTACGCAAATCTGTTGATATATACAACGGTGACGACCACATGGACCACATTGCCATTTGGGTGCGACTCTGTTCCCAGGATAGGCCCCAATTGCCTATTGTTAGCTCATCTGTATTTAAATATACAGTTTTTTTGTATATGTTTTTAAAGATAATAATTTAATAGTATATTTTTTTAGTAAAATACATTTAAATAATTATATATTATTATTTTTTTTTTTAAATCAACTAGTATAAAAATAGTAGAAATGTTTACACTATACTAATTATTTTAGCAACTATAAAATAATTTAGAAATTTATAATTACTTTTATTTCATATATTACAGTTTTTTTATAATATTTTAAAACATAATTATTGATTTTTAAAAATATTAATATGAGTTTTTTTTTAATCAATAATACGAGTTATTTAAATATTTAAAATATACACAACAAATTTACTATGAATTTTAGCAAAAAATTTTAAAGATAGATAAATATTTAATTACTCACCTGGATCTGAAAAGTGACCGGGACCTTAAATTAAAATAAAAAACAATATTTATTTATAATTATAATAAATAATTTTTTTTTCTCAATACCATTATATTTTCTGAACAGATCGTTATAAGTGCCATAATATGTAATAATTTCATCAATACTGGCCCACGAATCGACCACATCCTTATAGCTGCGATACACGTGACACGTGTGAGCAATGGCCTCGTAGTCGGGGGTCATATTGCGGTAGACGTACTGATAGAAAGGCCACTCGCATATGAATACCATATTGCGGCCTATTATTTGTTAGTTTATTATTATTATGTGTTAACAGTTTAAATACTAAACAACAACAAAAATTTTGCGCACCGGTAGCATTGAGCGCTTTATCCATTTTAGGGTACAGCCTATCAAAGTCAAGCGGCTCCTCGTAACAGCCGTCCGACTTGAACGAGTCGACACCCCAGTCGGCAACGGTCTGTGCATCCAAATCGTAGTAGTCGTGTCCGCCGGCTGTATGATTGTTTTGACCCGGGTAGCTTTTCAATTTATTTGTATTAATTTATTTATAATAAAAACAAACAAATATATCGCATAAACAGGTGCGCATCAATATACAATACATACCCACCGCAAGTCAGATTGCCCACATCACCGTAGATACCGAGTTTGAGTCTACGGGCGTGCATATAATCGGCCAACGCTTTGATACCACTCGGGAATCGTTTCCTGTCGGCCACCAACCGGCCACTCGAGTCCCGTTGTTTTTCGCTCCAACAGTCATCAACGTTGACATATTCGTAGCCCAACTCTCTGTAGCCGTCGGCTACCAAACGGTCGGCCATATCCTTATACAGCTGTTCATTGATACACGAGTGCGGGTAACGGTCGCAATCGGTTTGACAGGCAAACCGTTCCCACGATAGGAAACCCATTGGCGGTGTCAGCGCTAGTCCGTCATCTCTGGCCAACAAAAACGGTATGTTTGGCAATAAAATAGTTAATAGAAATATAATATGAAAAATAAGTTTAATTAACATTTCGTGTTTGTACTGTATGTCTATTATTTAAGATTATCTATTAATTGAAAAACAAAATTTCTAATTATAATAAATTTATTTTTATTTTTCTGTTAATATAATAGTAAAGCTAAAATAAATTATTGTATATATTATTATAAATTTATAACAATTGATTATTTTTGTTATTGATATGATAGAGAGAGAGAGAGAGAGAGAGAGAGAGAGAGAGAGAGAGAGAGAGAGAGAGAGAGATAAAAATTGTTTTTTAGTAATTATTTTACAAAACATAAGTCCTACAAATAAGTACATATGTAACCCATTTTTATGAAACTACAGTTATTTTTGTTGTTGATATGTTATATCAATATTGTTATCTTATTTTATTAATTAATATTTTGTATAATCATTTTTTCTAATAATTAAATAAAGTTGAAATTTTTTAAGATTCTAACTTACATTTTAAAAAAATTTAATTAAGGTTAAATTATTTTTAATTATTTTTGTTAAATTAAATAAAACTAGAAATTTAGCTAAAAATATTATATTTAATCTATACAATGTAAATTTATAGTCTATATTACTTATAACTATTGATAATTTATTTATAAATAAATTTTTTGCTTTTATATATATTACAGTGTACACACAAATATATAATTAATAAAATAATTGTTATTTTATTATATAAATTATTAATAATAATATTATTTTACTTTTTACATTCAATATTTCCTAATAATCATAAATAATAATAATAATTAAAACAATAAAATTGTATTTCTTAACAATTATTTATTTATTTATTACATTAGACTAATAATACAAACAACTACTCTATAATAAATATTAAAAAATTATTACAATGAATATCAAAGTGAAAAACTTTGTTTTATTTTTGAATATAGTTATTAAATCGATTAAATTGAAATTAAAAGCAATCAAAAATCAATATCTAGACGCCGGCAATGGTTTGGAAAAAATTGAAAAATTCTGTATTAATAACTATATAATTAATAACAAAAGTTTTAATAACTATATTAATAGTGACTGTAGTCGCTCTCAAAAACGTTGTTTAATTAGTCAAATGCTAAATGTTTTGCTAATAATACAACTATTTAGATATATCTTAAGTGCCATATATGGCAATAAAATTGAGATACTGTACCTGACATCCGAGTCTAACCATCTGATAGGACATCCCAACATACAGTCATCGATAATGATTTTGGGAACTCTATATGCTGTGGCGTCTAAACAAATGTATAGCTATCATGAAAAACATTATACATTATATTTGATTACATTACTCAGTGGTATCAAAAATAAATCGGAAAAGTTTTCTATAAATACTAGAAATTATCGTAAAATAAGTTTATTAATTAATTTTATGGCCAATTATTTGTTAACTTATATTACTATAGCAATGTATTTGGGATTTTGTTATGTATATATTGGCTCAATGTTATATGCACTGTGGACAGGTATGCCAGGTTTTCAAATAGTATCCGTACTAATATGGACTATTATATTGCCAATAACATATTATTATGTACTTTGTATAATATCTATAAATATAACATTTTCATATATAGTATTGTTTTATCTGATATTAAAACTAAATGAAATTAATACAAATATTTTTCAAAGTATTCGTCGATTAAATTTATATCAATTTCAACAATCAATTGCCGATCACTGGGATGTTTGCAAAATTATTATTAAATTGAATACAATGTTTAGCCATCTTATGTTATTTTTTTACTTTATTGCGACGCCATGTCTGGATCTATTTGTCTACCTGAGCCACAATAGCGATACTAAGCCAATGTTTAGACTGGTATGTATATTTTGTCTGGTCAATTATTTAACCATGACGTTTATTGCAAACTACATGTGCGCTACAATCAACTCGAGAGCACATAAATTGCGGCCACTATTACATCGATTTGTGGTACGACGGTCTGGCGGTCGGTTATCATTGAAAACCCGATTACTGTTTATGAAACTCAATGAATGGTTAAGTGATCGACAAATTGGCATTTATTGCGGCGACTTATTTGTCATCAATAACTATATTACTTATGAATATTGTTGTAGACTTTGTACCACATATTTCCTAATTATTACTCTTATCAATGATTATTAAAATATTGTTTGTTTTAATACAGTATTAATTATTGTATATATTACTATAAAATATGTTTAAATTAGTATATTATTGATATACAAATTATGTTTAATCTATTTGATACAAAATAAAAAAAAATATTATGTATATTAAATTTATCTAATTTATAGAGAAATATTATGTAAAAAATATTCATATTTTTAGATTCTGTAAATAAACAAATAAAATGATTAAAAATCAAATGTTATGACTTTTAGTTATTACTTATTTATTATTATTATTGCATTACTATTAAATGTATTAAGTTTGTAATAAAATAAAAATAAATATATAATTTATTTTATATTTACGGTATATTGTACTATTAATAATAATTTTTATTTGTTAATTTTAGTTTTTTTCAATAAAAATATTGTGAATATATTTATAAATGTATTTTTTAATTTTATTGTAATATTCATTAACAAAAACTTTAATATTAATGATATTATACTATAGAATAATATACAATAAAAATAATCAACAAAAATATAAAAATTTTACTAAATATTAAGTTAAGTTATTAATTTTAAAATAAAAACCAAAATTTATTTATTAGTATACTTTAATATACTTTAATATAAGTATAAGCTATATATTATACATATATTATTATTAATATTATTATATATAATATATACTAGTTTATAAAATGTTTTATAATTAATATTTAAATGTTAAATAAAATATGACAAAAATTATTGAATATTTTATAGTATATAAAATGATAAAATACTGTTTAAAAATTAAACAATTTTTTAATAACAAAATTAACAATATAAAATTTCAATATCAAAATGCTAATAATGGTTTAAATAAACTTGAACAATTTTGTGTAAATAAATACATTTTCAATTTTGATAGTTTCGAAAACTATTGCAATGGTAAACATCCATCTAAATACCGATACCGTAATCGACAGGTGCTTGGATTCATAGTATTCATATCAATGTTACGATTTATATTAGACTCAATTTATGCCGACAATCTAACGGTACGTTTGCTAACATCGGATGCCAACTATTTGTTAGGCAATCCAAACATACTATCGACTATCAGTCTATTGGTAACAATGATAGCACTGTCCGTTAATATTATCAATAGTTATCATGAAAAACATTCTAGTTTATATTCAATACCGATACTCAATGGTATCAAATATAACCATGATAATTTTAGATTGAATACTAGAAATTATAGAAAATTTAGCATGCGCATAAATTTTTTAGCCGACTATCTATTGAATCAAATATTTCTATTGCTATTTGTAATACTATGTATAATTTATATTGGTGCTACACTGTATGCACTGTGGACAGGTATACCATGTTTCAATATTTTCAATGTCCTACTATGGGCTGTCCTGACTGCCATAACTTTCTACATTATGCTGGCCGTCCCATTTGCTATATTCACAATATGGTATTCATCTATGGCTTATATTGTATACAAATTGAACGAAATTAATAACAAATTATTGGCTACAATACGTTTAGTAGATATAAATCAATTTAGGATACGACTGATCGAGCACCTGGATATAAGCCAACTAATCGATAAAATGAATCACTTATACAATAGTATAATAGTTGTCGTCTATTTTCTGGCCACACCTTTGATGAATTTGTTTATCTATATGCTAACAGATCCGCAAACAAATTTATTTTGGCGTATTATTAGCACAATGTCTTTTATTAACTTAATGTCAATGATAATGATGTTGAACTACATGTGCGCTACAATCAACTCGAGAGCCCATAAGCTGAGACCACTATTACACCGGTTTGTAGTCCGATCTGGGGGTCGGTTATCATTGAAAAACCGATTATTGTTTATGAAACTTAATGAATGGTTAAGTGATCGACAAATTGGTTTCTATTGCGGCGACTTATTTGTCGTCAATAACTATATTACATATGAATATTGTTGTAGATTTTGTACCACATATTTCCTAATTATTAGTCTAATTTACGATTGGTATTAAATATACTATTTTTCACTTATAAATGCTAGAAATATTAGTATTTAATATAATTAGCTAATTAATTATTAGCAAATTACAGTATATATAAATACATAGTAATAACTCAAATGCATTGAAACTAAATTTATTTATCTATAATTTAATAGTTTCTGTATTTAATATAACTAAAAAAACTTAAATAATCTTAAATAATACTGTATATTTTTTACAGTATTAATATTTGTTTTATCAAAATATAACAATAAAAATGTATAAGTATTTTAATTTATTTTATAAAAAAAATAAATATTTATTATTATTTTTATGCTTAAATGCTTTTTATTTTATTTACACAAAAATATTGCTATACTATTCAATTATTTTTTATCAATTATTAAATTATACTTTAATTAGTTTATTATATAAAATAATATATTGATTGGGATAACAAAAATAAAATCAACTTATTGTTTATATATTTATGTCGCAAATAATAAATTTTATGAATTTTTATTTTAATAATAATAAAATTTTATTATTATTTTGATAATAATTTTAAAGAATAGTAAGTTTATTTAATATTTGTATTAATTGTCTTTTATTAAAAAATAGTATATTAATGTAATATATATTATAGTAGTAGTGGGTGATAGATCCAAGTCAGACAAATTTTTTAACAAATAAAAAACAAGTACAGAGTGACCAGCCATTAACTTCGGGCACTTAAACTAAAATATATTTAAAAATTAATTCATAGATGGAGTAAGAAATAGATAAACTTAAGTTATATTTATTTTGAAAAACAATTCAGTACAACAATAGCGATGGCACCCACAGGCTTATAAAGCTGAAGTCGACAAACAATCAACACTTTATGGAAATGCAATTAAAAGGTAAACATCGGCAATTTAAAATTTCATATTT